CTGTTCAGCTCACTCCAATTCAAGACTCTGCAAGTAGGGAATCCAAGACACCATAATGGCCATCCTTGCTGCACTGAAGGGAATCCCCGACACACACTGAGGCAGGCCACATGTTTATGTTTGTAAAATACTTTCACTTTCCTTCATTTTCACCACGAAGCAAAACACTCTGTTTCAGAGATCTTGCCCAAAGCATGTGTCTCAGTGTCTTGTGTTGCTCACATTTAGCACAAGGAACTTCTTACCTCTCCTGGTCCATGGCTAGAAGTGCTATTTTGCCAGGAAGAGAGGGGAAGAGTACTGAATGAATCTGAGTGCAGAAAGCTACTGGTAAACAGCTCTATCTTTAAAAGTGCACATGTGTTTGTTACTGCACATCTTTGTGTATGTGTGTGTGCAGAGTGTGAGGGTGTGCTGTGTTTGAGATGGAGCAGAGGGCCTTGTGCATACAGAGTAATTCTCTATCAATGTAACCTAAATATATTACATTTCAAAAATGACTTTCATGTTTCCCTTAAATAAGAACACTCCTAGAATAAGAGAAAATCCAGAAACAAGGACATTTAGTGATAAGCAGGCAGAGGTAGAGCAGTTGCATTCTGTCTGCAAATGGTGGTCTGCACCACTGTCCTTAAGAACTGTGCATGGAAATGCGTTCCTCCTTCCAAGTGAGCTACTGGGAGCTGTGCTGTAATTGAATTTCTTCCTTTTTTTTTTTCTTTTTCTTTTTGCAGTGAAGCAAACTTCCCCAAAGCCAGAGACAGACCTGGGACTGCAAGCCCAGATCCAAGCAGGGCTTGTGTCACAACTTCCAGAATTCAGCAGGTCCTGCGCTAACACCAGTAACCCGCTGACTGAGGGAAGCTGCCCAGCCGAGTTTGGGGATAACTCAGACAGAGCTCCAGTGCAGAATACCACTCATCCTTGGGCCTGCGATCCAGGCTGGCAGCAACCAGAGAAGAACTGGGATGAGATGATGAGCAGGGATCCAAAGCCTCTGGAGGCCCACCCCATCTTCA